AGTATCCTAACCACTGGACAAGAGAGTGAGGGTAGCAGCGAGGCCGGCCCAGAGCACATTTAACTAAAGTGGAACAGCTTCAACAGGCAAGAAGGAGAACTGTCCCAGTCACTGTACTGTATTAGGGTAGTGACATGCAGCCACATTTGAACCCATATCATCTCACAGCCCAGGCACATAGCCTAATCAGTGGACTACAGAGGAAGCCTTACCTAGTTGCTAGCCCAAATAATATTTAACTAACGTGGAACATCATCCACAGGCAAGAGTTAGGGAGCCCCCCCCCCATTGCTAACCAGCAAAGCCCCACGCACACCCACCAAGGCTGCAGTCAACATCTATCCACAGCCCTTCTTAAGGCAGATAGAGAGCACATGTAAACCTGCCTCTTCCACAGCCCAAGGACATACCCAAACCCCTGCACTCTAGAGGGAGTGCTGTCTTTGCTTTTGCCCAAGCAATATTTAATTAATGTTGAACAGCGTCAAGCTACAAGCAAAAGCATGGAAGCCCCTGATCACACTATACAGAAACTAGGGGATGCACCCGGGTTGTTGGAGACAAGGCTCTTTGCAGTCCTTCATCATAGCAGGGAATTTAAACCCATGGCTCTCCTAATCTAGGTGAATAGCCTAACCACAGGACTGCAGAGGGCAGTGCAGGCTTTTGTCAGCCAAAATAATATTTAATTAAGGTGGATCAGCTGCAAAAGGCAAGTCCAGACCCCATGTATAGGAAAGAGGATGAAGGTAACAGTCAGCATCGTGATAGAGCGAAGACATATATAAAGCAGACACTAGAAATGATATTGCCCATCCCAGGGCAGCATGGGTTTACATTATGTCATAGCAGCATTTGATGAGTAGGAGCATTCTGCCTTGTTACAGAGGGAAATATTTCACACCTGCCAATTTTTGAGTTGACCTAATTGAAAGCCTTTTTGGCTAGCATACACACCGAATCTATAGTTTACCCAGATGCCAATTCTGCCTGACTCCAAGCCTCTTATGCTTAAATAAAAATTACAAAACCACAAAACTGGAAGAGTTGAGCCTAGCGAACTCTAATTGTCAGGTTTGGACACATCATCACCCTGAAACATTCATCCCGCTTCACTTAGTGCACAATTGCTCCTAGAGGCTGGATTCAGAGGTTGTTCTAATACAGAATTCAGTAAGTGCTGTAACAGAGTTCTCTACATGCTTAAGTGTTAGTGGGTGGGAGAGAATGTACTATGTTGCTTCCTCTCTAAAGTAGCATTAATTACTCTAAAAAGGGACTTAAAATGTGGCAAAGCAGCTGCTGCCAAGAAGAATTTGCTCGCAGCAATCACACGTTAATTATTACGTACTTATATAGTTCAGCTTGGAGAAGGAAGGTTTGTAAAACTTGCCAGTTTAGACTTTTAGCCATCGTCCATGAGCCTTAGTAATAAATCAGACGGTTTTCCACTGAGGTTTATTATGAGGTCTATAGTAAGAAGAGACCTGAATAACAGATCATTTGTTTTTCTCCATCTCTATCCCGGTGTTTTTCTCCATCTGCTGCTATTCTGCCCCCATGGTCTTCAGTTGGCGTCTGTTCTCCAGTCTGTGTGGAAGTCCCATCAGAGACGGAGGCTGTCCAAGGAAGTCACATGAAGCTGCTCTGTATCTCCTGCATGAAGAGAGAAGAGGTTTCTGCAAGCACCGTGGTGGAATGGTTCTACAAGACTGAAGCGGGGAAAGATGAGCTGGTATGTATATTTGCTAACCTAATTCATTGCTACCATACCCCTTAGTATATGGGAAATGTCCAGGGAATGTATGGGGGGAGTGAGGTAAAAAGGCCTGGGGAAAACATTAACTTGGGTTCTGTGGTACAGTTTTGGTGAAGGTCACACAAGGAAGATAAGAAAAACAAGTGTAATTTGGGTTGTGTGTCACATCTGAAGTTTGATTTGAGGAAGACAGAAATGTCCAGAGGCCACTCACACAATACTGAAAATGACAATGCTCCTTCAGTTATTTAACCCCACCCTTGCACTACAGTGTTTTCATTTATATGGCACATTTCAGCCAGAGATAGCAAAGCACTTTGCAAACATTGTCTCGTAACTGTCTCCTCCTAATATCACTGATCCATAAATTGAGTTGATTATGTGTCATGCAGCAGCACTCAGAAGGCCCAATGGAGCGCAAGACCACCTTGTGTGAGGTGCTGTACATACACATAGTAAGAGACAGGCCCTTTCCCAAAGAATTTACAGCCTAAATAGACAAGGCAGCTGAAGGGTGAGAGGGAAACGGGCACTGAAACGTGAACTGACTTGCCCAAAGTTACAGAGTTGGTCAGTGGCAGAGTGCAAGCTTGCATTGTGCATTTTGCCTAATTTTGTTTTGCTTTATGCTACTTACAGGAGAAGGCAGCTGATGTGTTTCCCCCAGAACCCAGATCCTAGACTAGATTTAACAGACCGCTGGCTGAGACTGCGAGAGGAACAGCCACAATACAGTAATTTGGCTTCGCTCAAACTTCACAGTGTGACTGCAGGGTAGCGATGCAAACAGTCAAACGTGGGTGGAGAGTGCACAATTAGAATATTGGAGGATGGACTGCCACATCTTGTTACCCATTATGATGTGCCAGTTAGTTGGCTGAACAGTCTAGATATACAGTTGGAGGCATATGAAAGCCATGTCAGAACCAAGAATAGAATTTAGGAGTCCCAATTCCTGACATCAGAATTTAACCCCGAGATCTCGCCTTCATGCCCAACGATTGTTCTCTAAGAGTCAAATCTCATCCTATTGAAGTCCACGGAATTATAGCCATTGAATTCCCCGAGGCCAGGCTTTAGCGCTACATAGCTCTGTCACCTGCTGTTTTAATGATGATGGCACAGTGATATCCCTATGAAAGTTACTCCATCATCTGATTCAAGAAGCATGGTTACACTATCTCTGTGTGCTCTTTTGAAGGCTGTCTGGGGGGATGTTGGAACTGTCCTTCTAAATGAGTTAAAATAGAGGGATGTGGATTTGAAGGAAAAGAAGCAACAGGTTTCTTAGTCCTGAGTACTTGGAGGCCTGACTATATGCAGTTCTTGCATATTTTCATATGTGCAAAGTCTTTGTTTCATCTAGAAAACAAAGCTAGTGGCAATGGTGAGTTCCAGATACGTCCTCACTGTTTTGAGCTCTGATCTGGAGGGACCACTTGGAAGGATGAGAAGGGAATTCAGGATTGGCTTATCTGCTGAGCATGCTAATGAGTGACTCAGGGGGTGTTTTAATGGTATGGACTGTTACCCACTAGGAACTGACAAGAGGGTCCACATGCTGTCACCAACCTCCTAAGCCACCGTTCGGTGCTTCTCATCTGAGCTTCCAATAGGGAGCCCATATGCCTGTCAGTAGAGGGGGTGAATCTGATTTTTAAACACTTGCCTCCCTTCTTGCACCTGCAATTTGTGGGTGCAAATAGTAGTGGGGAGAGATTTGCATCTGCAATTATTCATGGGCACAAGTTAGGACATTTAGACACAGAAGGACCTGCTCTATGGATACACCCATTCATGACCTCAAGTGTAGAACAACTTACACTCATAAAGCTGAACTTGCAGAAAGGGAGGCCCAGTTCAGCACAGGGTGAAAATCAGGACTCCAATGCTCATGGCTGTTGTGATGGACTCAGACCAGAAAGATATAAGAGAGTAGTTGAAAGCAGGTATCTCAGCCTCAGAATGAGCAGGTCCCTGTTTCTAGATAGCCAAACAAAGGCTATTCCAGGCCAATCAAGACACCTGATGCCAATTTAACCAGTTAAGGTCATTAGGCTAATGCTGGCACCTGACCTCAATTAAGGCTGTTAGGCTAATGGAGACAGCTGGAACCAATTAAGGTCCCACTCATACTGCTTAAAAGCTCTCCTTTCGCACTCTTCTCTAGAGAAGCCCAGGTAAAAGGAGAGGAAACATTGCTGAATCCTGAGGCAAGGGTGAAGCTAGGAAAAGGGGACTACTAGGAAATGGCCCAGAGAATCAAAGCAGCGTCAGTGGTGAAGGTAAAGCGGCCAACAGCTGCTACCATTAGGGTCCTAGGGCTAGAACCTGGAGTAGAGGGTGGTTCCCTCCTTCCCCCCATGCTCTACAGAGATTCCCTTGAGAAGGGAAGCAGACTTTCCTCCAGGCAGGAGGCCAAGCTGTGCCTCCTGAGCTCTAAGGAGCAACAGAGACTGTGGGTATTCCACCTCCTATACTGTCCTGTGATGAAAGTAGCTCAAGAAACTGTACTGAGAAAGGGAGGCCTTAGTGAGCTTCTGAGGCCACTGAATCTGCCTGGAAGCGTGGGACCCACCAATACAGGCTTGGAGCTTTGTCCCCCTGTGTAAATAAGCCATTATATTTATCATCACACTTTCAGTTTTCTCTTGCAATACCTTTGTTTGGACCACAATTTCCAGTGCTTACAAACAATTGTTTGTATTTAATGTGGTAGCATGATCCAATGGACTTAAGCACTAGCCTGGGAGACAAGGGTTCTATTCCTGCCTCTACCTTGGACCTGCTTTCATCTTGGACAAGTCACTTTGCCTATCGGTGCCTCATTTTCCCTACCTGTATAATGGAAATAATTCTATTTGCTGTCTTTGTAAAGTGTTTTTAGTGCTCTTCATCTGGAGATCTCTAGAAGTATTAACACCTGATGCTTCAGGAAGAGAAACTCTAAACCACCTGGTAGCTGGGAACTGTTCCTAGCTAGAGGGGAATCCCAGGGTGGGGAGTAGGATGCATCCACAAATCGATAGGTGACTGTTCCTTCCCCCCCATTTCTCTACAGATCTGTGAATACAGAAAAGTATACCATGAATTTCCAAGCCGCTTCAGTGGCCGGCTACAGTGGAACGGGAGCAAAGACATGCAGGACGTGTCCATCACTGTATTAAATGTGACCTTGAATGATTCGGGGATCTACACCTGTAACGTCACCCGGGAGTTTGACTTTGAGATTCATCGCCCACTCTTCACAAGCTCCAGATTGATCCATCTCACTGTGGTAGAGGAGGGTACGGAGGACTGGTGGAAATACTTTGAACCATTGGGTGTGACCTGCCTTGCCAAGGGCCAAGTCTATTGCAAACCAGACAATGCTCTTTTCAGTGGTATCCCTGGTGAGGGGTGGGGAAGCTGCCAAGGAATAGGTCATTTGCAGATGCTTCTATTTCCCCAGCCACACTTTCTTACGAGTCTGACACGGGCTCCAATATGAAACCCTGCACCTCTTGTGCTGGGCGTAGTCCCAGTTTCAGAGCTCAGAAGTGTGTCCTGGCCTCATCCAGCAGCTCCTGGGCAGGGGAACAACCAGAGAAGCATGCTGTACCAAGCAGGAAGTGCAATGGGCTTCCTGTTTTTCAGCTCAGTGCACACACTACTCCCTAGTGGCTCTCAGTACACCGTTCTCGCAGGGAGCAGCAGCAGTGTAGTTGATGAACGGGTGATGGCTTCCCTCCACCCCTTCTCTTTTCTTCCCTCCCCCACTGGGTGTGATCTCTCTCCATCTCCCTCTGTTTCTTTCCTGCTTCCAGCTGTGCAATTCCTCTTTTCTTCACGTGCATTTCTCCTTCCCCCTCAATCAGTGAAATGCTGGCCATACTAAGTCAGTAGGAGTGGTGTCACTGATTTCAGTGGGCCAGGGTTTCCACACCATATCTGTCCTGTGTGTGAATCTCTTTCCCTTCTCTCCTCCAAGTCCTGCTATTTCTTGGCCACCATTAAAAGCATTTTGATTCTGTATTCATTTCTGATAGTCACCTCATTGTAGGGATGACCAGACAGCAAGTGTGAAAAATCGGGATGGGGGTAGGGGGTAATAGAAGGCTATAAAAAGACCCAGAAATCAGGACTGTCCCTATAAAATCAGGACAATTGGTCACCCTACCTCATTGCTGCACAGGATATCTAGCAATGCATCAGGGGTTAGAAAAAGAAAGCACCATGAAAACAAATCAGCATCCAGGATAAGATCGGTTAAAATTGGGGTGTGGGCGGGGGTGCGTGTGTGCTTACATGCATATGTTTGCTCTGAGGAGAACATAACTGGAACTAGTAGCAAACTTGAGTACATGTATATTTTATTTCCACGAGCGTGCAGGGTGGAACAGCTGATGGAAGTCTCCCCATAGCCAAACCCTGCCCCTCTCAGACCAGGTTGAGCTTCTTCCTCCACTTCCGGCAGCTGGTTTGGGGAGAGGAGCAGAAGACCGCTGCTCAGGTGCTGCAGTTCAAGGTGACATGCAGCTATGTTGCCAGGCTCTGTTCTTCATTTAGCTACCGCCTCCTAAGCTTCTTCACAGCTACTCGCTCAAATGGCAGTTGAGACCCTGCCCCCATTTTCTGCAGCGCACTCGGCCTGCTGGCCTTAGTTCCAATAAGAGAGGTACCTAAGCCTACAGTCCTGTATCTTCTGTTGCTCATTCTTGCAGGTAACTCTATCTGGTTGAAAACAGGAGAGGGCTGGTTCTTTGAGAACCAATTTTGTACTGCACCATCCTCTAAGAGATCAGTGATTTATTTTAATTGTTTCCCCAACAGCTGGAGAAGATTTCACATCTGTCATCTCTGAAATTATGATGTATATTCTCCTGGTTTTCCTCACCTTGTGGCTGCTGATAGAAATGGTCTATTGCTACAGGAAGGTCTCCAAAGCAGAGGAGACTGTACAGGAAAATGCGTAAGTAAAAATCCTACAGAGCTTCTCACCTGCAGCAGAAAAAAGTGGGGTGTGGTTCAGAGGGTTCACCAGGGGATCTGGCCACCATTAAAAGCATTTTGATCTTGTATTCATTTCTCTTGCTGCATCTCAGAATCCTTGTGAAATGTAGCAGGATTGAATCTCTCCTGAGAGAGGCTATACACTAGGTTAGCAAGGGACAGTTACAACTCAGAGTGAAGGCATGTTGGCCAAGCTGTGCAGTGCCCCATAACTGGGGTATTGGAAGGCACCTTGTCAGAACGGTGTAGGAGACACTTTCCCAGGACCTGCCTGCAATTTGCCTAACTCCTGATCATAAGCATCACACGCTGTTTTTAAAGACTGAGGCAAAGACCGTTCCAGTGTGACAGCTGGAGATTATTCCCATGCTGTATGTGTCCCTCCTTTGTACATCCGATAACAAGGCCCTTTGTGTGGAGTGGGGAGAAAATATTCTTATGATTTTATCCTGGGTCAAACTCTGCACCTGCCCTTGAGAAAGGAGCACACCGAAAACCTTTTCGGAAGGGGCGTTCTCCGCAGTGAGTCACCCTGCGCTTTACTCAGTTAAGGGCTGACATGTCAGAGGTGCCAAGTTACAGGCGCTCGGTGCCTCCAAAAATAAGGACTTTCAAAGGATAGCAACTCTCAACTGGTCTTTCCCTTGAAGCATCTCAGCTTATGCTCGCAGCTAGCACCCACCCGGGGTTCTTTTTACCTGTGGTGAGCGCTCTCCTTCGATCTGTAGGACTGACTACCTTGCCATTCCGTCGGAAAACAAGGAAAACTGTGCTGTGCCCGTGGAGGAGTAGCCAAGAGTAGATGGGCCATGACCTGCAATAAGGTACGCAAGCTTGATACAAAACAAGGGTGTGGCTAGAGCGTTGTGCACATGTGGCTGATTCTGCTCCCTGACTTGTGGGGCACCCTAAAACCACTGGGGAGAGGTGCAGGAAAATGGGGCGGTTATGTTATCCTGACAAAAGGCTTGGAGAAATGGGGGAGGGGTCTATGTATCCCAAGCTTGCTTTGGGTCCAACACTTCCACCATGGCTCTGGAAGCAGTTAAGCATGTACAGATTGTGGGTGCATTAAGATTTTTTTTAAAAGCTTAATAGCAAAAGATCTGGCTGTGCTGTAGCATTGTTCTGCCAGGAATGTATTTATCAGACACTGATGTGCCCCACAGTAGCTGAGCACTTAATATATTTCTCCTCACACACACCTCAGTGAAGCAGGACAGGGCTATTATCCTCATGTTACAGATGGGGAAACTGAGGCAGAAAGACTTGCTCAAGTGTCACACACAGTCCATAGTAAAGCAGGGAATTGAACCCAGTTTCTCCACTGTAGAGCTGCTCAGCCATTTTTCAATGAAACCTAGTTGAAGCTGGGCCTCGGGGGTGGCAGCATTGGGATCGCTGCTGCTAAGTGAAATTGAAATTCTGGACACTTTTGCATTTCCTTTCAGGAACACCGTATTTTGGTGTTTCTGAAACACAATTTTCAGGAATCTCCAATTTGCTGGGGAAAGTCTGGTACATCTGTTTGGCTTCTCAGTCAGAAAGAAAGCAAATTTGTCAGTAACAAAATCCCCAAGTTTCAGCCAGTTAATCCAGAGTCCCATACTAGTGCTGAACCAGTCTTCCTTTACTGCTATCCATAGTCCAGCCCTTTGCATTTTGTAGGCATTCTTCTAATGCACCCTAGGTCACCAGGGAACTGAGGTCTGGCTCTGGTTGCTCATTGGGTGTAGTATATGCTACCCTGACCATCTCTCCCCAATTAAAACAAAAACAAACCTGTTGCTATTTCAGAAGTGTGTTGTAAATGTTGTTCCCCCTTGCTATTTCCAAAAGATGCTGCAGTATTTCTATTTTCACACAGGGCTCAGAGCCAAAGTTTAGAACTCTAGGCCCCATCTCTGTGTTTGATTGTATGCACTGTTGCATTTTTAACAATGCAGCTGTCTATGCAGCCTCTCAGGTGCTGTGAGCAGAAGTAACCTCACTTATCATGGTATACAAGACCATCCCTCTGCTAAGGAAGCATTAATCACAAGGTGTGGGGGTGGGTGGGCTTCTGTTCCTTGCAGGAACTCTGAAGTTGGAAGGACCAAGTCACTCCAGCCAGGTTTGGGAAAACTCTACAGCACCAGGAGGAAATAAGGGAAAGTGTAAATTCTCTTCCACTTGCCTTGGACATTGCACAGCCTTGACTTCAGCATCATGACTCCATTTGCTAAAGGATTCTCCTTTGAAGCATGCTGAGGAAAAGGGGTTGGGGTGTGGGTGGCACTGCTCCTTCCTAAGTTTTGCCCCCACTCTCATCCAGTGGCCTTGTAAATACTAGTATCATTTATTACCCTCACCATATTCCTTTGCAAAATTTGCTAATTCGACACTGCAGCATTGAGGGGTATGTCACATTACCCTGACACACGTGGCCATCAGCAAGGTCATTTTAGCATTGTGCTAACCCTTTTGATAAAGCCTGAACAGTCACTTTAATTATTAAAAATATCATCCTGCTCCACCCCAATGCTTGCTATTTACCATTCAAATGCTTGCTCTCCATGCTGCCCTGGACTGTAGGCTGCTGTTGCAAACATAGGACAAGGATATGGAGAAGTAGAAGGTTCATAGCAGCTTAGAGCTGCAAAAAAATGTACATCAGCACTCAGCATGCAGAGAATTAGTGGGCAGCAAATCTACACGCACTAGCTTGCCATGCACACCCTGCTGCATACAAGTTCCATAGTGTGCTTTGACCTGCTGCAGAACATTTAGCACATAGCAGGTTTCACACAGCCAGTTAGCCAGCGGCAAGCTAATGGGATGTAGATTTACGGCCCAGCTTGCCGCACACTAATCCTGAATAGCCATGCCCTCAGGCTGTATCACTGCTACCTTGGGATTCCCTGCTATAAACTGCAACAATTCCAAGAAGTGATGTTTGTTTTATTTGGCAACTATTTGTCAGAGTTCTAGCTGTCTCTATTAGCCTTGCTCTGTTAACTTACACAGTAGATAGTGTTTGCTTATCATGGAAATAACCTCTATCAACTAGTGTCTTGCAACAACCACAGGAGAGCATCCCTGGGAGACGGATACTCCCTGAAATTAGCGAAGTGTCCTCAAACAGAAGAGAGTTAAAGGTCGGAGCTCCTGAAGGGAGAGAGGAGAGAGAGAGTCTGGTTTAGGTAAGCAAGCGAATGAAATGGACTGCTTATTCCCAAATGGGAAAATGATGAGGCAGCTTTGGAATTTGTGAAGCTTTTTATAACTCATTGAAAGTCATAGTGGGACAGTTACACCACCTAGAGTCAAACAGTGGTTATTTTCTCCCATAGCCCTTAATGTATTATTTCTTGTGATAATTATTCTCCATGCTGAATACTCAGTGTTAGTCTGATGTGACCTATTATTGCAGAGCAGTTCTCCTGTAAATTAAGTTTCACTTATAAACACAGTATATACATAGCTGCAGATACAGTAGCAAGGTGGGGGGGTTGGCTTTGTTATATGTAAAACATTTAAGCATAGTGATGGCGGCTTCTCATTCAGAGAAGCATTAGTCTTAGAATCTGAGATTATTGGGGAAAGCATTTGTCTATATGTAGAAGTGGCACATGAGGGTGAGATGCTGCTGAATGCCATTTGTCAGGAAAGGGGAGTTTTTGCTCCTAGCAGATAATGTGATATCCCCTGCTGCAATGACTGCTTTACAGCTTGGAAGAGTTAAGATGAATCTGCCCCACTGTTTGCTCCTAAATAAATAGATAACACACTCACTGAGTCAGGCATGCTTTCTGCATAGGGACTTCCTCTGCTTTGTTATGCATAAATCGCTCTGATGTGATTTAAAGTTAGACAGGCCCAAACCAGAATTCTAGGTGATGGTTATTCAGAGACCCAACTAGGATCAGGAGCTGCAGAATGCCCTGACTTTTGTAAATCTAAAACCCAGTTCCAAACGGACCTGACACACAGTGTCTGAAACCAGATCCCAGGTTTACAGCCTGAGCCCATCTGTAGATTAAGCATGCTCCATCGGCAATGCCTTAGACTTGGCATCTTAGAACCCAGTGTTTAAAATGGAGGAAGAACCCTCCCTTACTTAGGTTATGGTGGAAGTCTTCATTTTTCCTAGGCCAGCGTATTCAGCCTAAAATGCTATGGGAGGAATATTAACCCTCAATCCATAACATCCCCACCCCTTTCTGATTTTCTAAACTAACCAGATGCTTTTGTGTCTTTCATCTTCCACTAACACTGTAATTTATGAAGTGCTCCTATAGATAGACACTACTACCCTCTCAAATATTTTTAGGTAGGGGGAACCCATTTGTTGGGAAAGCTGTCTTAGGACTCCCAATCTTTTGATTGAAAAAGGGGGAGTGAGATGGCATTGCCCCAAGGCACTGTTAAAGAGAATGTGTCTTCTGGGAAGATCATCCCCCACTGGCATCAGGAAAGACCCCTCTCTGTGTATATGGAAATAACAAGTAAGACTTAGAATTAGGTAGGACAATAAAAATAAAAATGAAGCACTCAACTGTCACTCTTTCATTTGTTCAATACTTTAATTCATAATGTATTTTCCATTGTTCTAGCTACTTTACATTGAGATTTGGCTGTGTAGCCTTTATAATTCCTAGTTTCCTAGCAGGTAAGTATCTTTATCACACCTTGCGCACAGCGCAAAGTTTATTACAGTTAGAGCCAAACACAGTTAGCCAGACACCGCCTCAAAACACAACTGCTGTTCCTTCTGCATGTGGCCCAGCCCCAGAGTTTGTGTTGCCACCACAGACTATTCAACAAGACAGAGGTGAGCCTTGGCCTATAGCTCTCCCTCCCCGTTTAGAGTGTTACTACTCAAGAGGGGAAATGCCCACCGTGGGGATGATCATACAACCCACTCTTGTTGATGTGAGTAAATCCTTACTCAAATGGAATTATTTGCAAGAGTAAGGATTACTCACCTGAATTAGGGTTGCAAGCTCCAGGCCCTTGTGTGGGGAAAGGTAGTCCAGGAATGTAGCAGCACTACTTGGCCATGGAGCATTTGATGAGGTGTGAGCTGTGGAAAAAATAATGCATTGCAACCCGCTGGTAACATGGCAAAAGTGCTGTTAATGTACAGTACCAAGAGTGCAGGTTGGTGCTAACACGTTTGTTCTGTTTAAGTGTTATTTAATGGGGGAGGGAGACATGTAGGCTCCCAAGCCATCTCCGAGGAATGATACTGATGTGGCACAAGCTCCAGCCTTTTGTTGGAGAAAGTTGCTGTTTCTTAGTAGCAGCAGCTGCCAGTCTCCCCCATTGGAGGGCTGCTGGGGCAGTTTAGATTGAGCTTGGAAACTGAACATGCCCGAGCAGCTCTGGATGCTGCATTCTTCTAACTCAAAGATCAGCTTCAGGAAGCTGGCCCTTTAATGGTAGCAATGAAACTGACCAACAGGAGTGAGGTAACAAAAATTGTCAGAGGAGGAGGAGCCTCCTGAGTCATGTGCAAATATAATTCCTTCCCCAGAAGGAAAGTCCTTTCCCCACCAAAATAACACACATTCATTTCCTAGCATACCACACACTGCTGCAAGGAACGACAAGCAGGGACAGCATCAGGTCAGTCCATCCTGGACAGAGGGAGATTGGGATAGAAAAGAGCTGATTGTCCTGCAGCAGTGAGGTGAGGGAGGGGAGAAAATGGAGCCATGCAAGCACTGTAGCTGCAGAATGTGTTTTGGGGGCTAGCTCTCCCTGTGTAGCTAAGGGAATGTTCAGCTATGGCTGAGCAAGTGGAGGGGGAGAGTAACATACTATTTTGGCTGGTTTGCACATCTAGAAAAAAGCATGTTATGGCACAAAAGAGATTCACCTGCAAGCATAGAGAGAGAGCACAGACTGATCAGATGGGGAGTGAACATTCAGTACAGTTCTCTCCTGCAAACAGTACATCACGGTAGTCATTTCTCAGACTGGTTATTCCAGACACTTTGGGCTAGTGGTGTCCACCCACAGTCTTGGTTAAACAAGAACAGAGGTAATTTCACAACCAGTGCCCTCCCACATCTCAAAACCTCAAGCCAGGTTCCATTCTACCACACCAAGAAGCCATCAGTGGTAGCAAATCAGAGCCTAACAGCTTGCAAACTGCCAGGTGCAGCTGTGCTGAAATACGTGAAACCCACAGAGGATGCACGCAGGGTTTGAGGGGGAAAGGAAGAGCAGCTTCGCTGACAAAAATTCTACAGTAACAAGCCCAGAACGTTACCTTGTAGAATAGTCACTGCAAGGAGCAAGGCTCTTCCTCTAGGGTACTGAAGTATTCTTTGGAGAAGGTTGGTTCTGGATGCCTGTGGAAGGGACCTGCGCTATAGAGCATGCAGAAGCCTGCACTGTTGGCTATGCTCTTCTCCTGTCAAACATCAGCTAATTGTAGTAAGTAACCAAAAGATCTTGCCCTCAAACCTGGTACAAATTATCATGGGATGTTCATACCCTGCCTACAACTCAACTGAAAAGACACTAGTCATCTTGACTGTGTATCTCATAGGTGGACTACCTGCCCTCAGCCTGTGTAGAGGGGGAAAAGCTCATCTGTTTTGGATGGTCCCCAAAAAGGCAAAGAGGACAGAGCTGATCTCCCCTGAGGTGCCCCTACTCTTTCCAGCAGCACTCTGAGACCCCTTATCCAGCAAGGTCCTGGGGGGAAGATGAAAGATACTGACCCTCAGAAGTGCTTGACACTAAGCTCTATTTAGCAGCTTGTTTGGTGAGAGAAGCACTGGCCATTTTAGCTTTGGGCTGGATTTGGAGAGAAGAGATTTCTTCCAATTCCACATTCCAGTGCTGAATGATGGAAAAGCCACCGTCTACCCTGCTCCAACTCCTCTCCATTCTGATACGGCTAGCTGCATGGCAGGTGATGTGTCCAAGCCCTGGAACGCAAAACTACCATGAAGAGGAACGGACTCCGAGGCCATAGGAGAGGGGAGAGTGCCCCTGTTCCTAGGTACTGGTAGGAAAGGAATCCTCTCTTGTGTACTTAGCATTCTAATGCACAGAAATGTAGACTGAGGGTTGCCATTGTATCCGGTGTTCAACCTCACTCTGCCTCGGCATTGCAGCACACATCTGTTCTGAGGAGCTAGAGGGGGAGTGAGTTGAAGGCAATGTTGTAACAGGGTTAATGGTGTTATGCTAAGTTTCTAGCCACCACTGGAAGCAAAGGAGCCACAGAACCCTGAGAGGGGCTGTTCGTGAGAGTTCGTGCCCAACTCAACACACTCCATCCAGCAGTTTGGAGAGCTGCCAAGGTAGGCAGTCAATCTCTTAGATGCTTACCTGACCCATATCCAGCTCTATCACTGCTTTCATTCCAATGAGGAGCTGGACCTTCCTCTTTACTTGCGTGGGAATCACTGCAGATCCCTCACAAAATGTCTTGCAGTGCACATCAGCCAACTGGGGTTATGGTCTCGACTGCAGCTGTCCATTTGTAACAAACAATCCCCTCTCCCCCCCAGCCCTAAAAATGTAGGTTAGGAAAATTAGCTGTTGATAACTAAGCATATACATGAAGAGGAAATATTGGGTTGAACTGTCCCCTTTATACCCGAGTAAATCTTTGAATCCATGGACTTGTCTGGCTCTAAATGCGAGAAGAACTTGGCTTACTGTACCTGACTGATCATTATCTGTTTATATTTGGGATAGGAAAATGGGTCCATTTAAGGGCTGCTGCTGGTGACACAAGCATTATTTCCACAGAGCAGCTTTCAGGTCAGGGCTCAGTAAAGCCAACACATTATGCCTGCAGCAAAAACCATCTCTTCCTTTTAAACTGTGCATTAAAAAATAAATTTGGGTACAAGGTTACACTTTACTAGAGATGCACCCTTTCTGTCCATAGATTTTTATTTGTTTTTGTCTGAAGTGGTGTAATTTCCAGTTCGGGTAGACCTACCCGCTACCTCGGATCAAGATAACATGGGCATATCTACTTGAGCTAGAAATTACTGCTCTGTTGTAGACCTACTGAGTGAGAGAGATCTTGGATAGGAAACTGATTCCAAATTGGCATGTGCAATTTAACCATGCAATCAGCTTTACCAGAGAGCAAAGTAGTCAAAGCTGGAGCGTTCATGTCAGGGTTAGAGCTTGACATTCACAACTACCATCCAAGATTAAAATATTTACATACTGTGTACGCTGATTTTGAAATTGTGGTTCAGGCTTTAGCTGCATAGGGAGTTCAGAGTTTTGTGACCTTGATTCTTTTTATTTTTGCTTGTCTGTATTTTAAACCCATTTTTTAATCATGATTCTTCCTAGCTAAAGCGTGGCTTGTACTATACATTAAGGCTAGAACCCTTCCAGAAGCATGGTTGCTTTATAGTCAGGTACACAGGCTGAAACAGTTTCCATTCTTTCTCCACCCCACTCTACCAGGAACACAGCATTCCCACTAATGCCAAAGTTTTGAAATGAGTCTAAGAGTGTTTGCCTACCTGTCTTCCTTCCCTGCTCCCAGATCTCCCACATCTGAACTACACACTTACCCGAGGATGGTGTCTTTCACAAATAAGTAAGTCTTGAGTTTATGTAACTAGGCCCCCATTTTCAAACACAGGCACTACATGGACCCTACAGCCCAAAATACCTGTTTTCAGGTAAGCACCAATGGGCAGAATATAGGTACCTAATTTAGGCAGCCAAGTTTGAAAACTGGGCTTAGCAAGGAAACTCCTTTTTTCTCCACATACGGAAAGATTAGAGCTGAGAATGTGTGTTCCCGATGAGCTGTCTTTCTATCCCTCCCTCCAGTGCTGCAGCATCTCACGCAGCACTATTTAGGCCATTCGCTGTTTATGTTACTTTGTGTATATTATATCTGGCTGGTGCTTTAGCTGCAGCAGGAAGGGGAGTGGAGTGGAAGGATAAACCCTTTAAAAAATCTATTTCACAATTGGTCAGACACTGAAAATCAAACCAAACTGTTCTGCCTGTGAACCTGATTGGTTATGCACAGTGGAAGGACGAGGGCCTGTCGGGGCAGAGTGCCAAACGAAGGCTACGATCCTCCCCCACACAGGTCAGCAGGGCAATAAATGTATCTGCCCATGTGTTCAGGCTAGGTCAAAACAGGTGAGCCTCACAGAGAAGAGACTAGGGTGAAAACTAACTTTTAGCTGTACTTACAGTATCCTCCCTTCCATCCATCTCTGTCTCTGTTTTACCACTAGAAATCTCTGCTAGATTATCAACAAACTTTTAACCATAAGCACACCTCAGGCTGCGATTTTCAAAGGACCCTAAAGAAGTTAGGCACCCAACTCCCATTGAAATGCAATAGGATTTGGGTACCTAATGCTCTTAGTCTCCTTTAATCCCAGACTATGTGTGTGTCTTAATTCTGGCTCCCTATTGACATTAAATAATCTACTTCAACCCCTAATGTGGGAGGCAAAGAAATGGGTGTGTTTCTTCTCTGCAAGTGGGGCAGAGAAGCAAAGGGTGAGGGTCTGAGTTAAAAAAAGGCTAGATAAGCAGAGCGATGAGACAACGAAGGATACACTAGCTGAAAGCCAGAGAGGAATTATTGCCAGGGGGCCAGGAAAAGCTTCCTGACACTAAGAGCTTGTCTATATGTACAGTTGCACTGACTTCACTAACAATATGATGTTAAACTGGTGTCATTGCATGTGTAGACACACTTAACGGCTTAGCTTGTAAATTTACAGGCTTGGGATTCACTGTTTTGTACCAGTTTGAAACTGGTTATGAATGGATCCACCGTAATCTGCAGCAGTTTAACTAAAGCAGCACAAGTTTGTGTAGGCCTGTGATCTGCTGGATGGAACAGACTCTTCCAGGGAAGCTGTGGCTCTTGGACAAAACACTAGAAAATGGACTGCTGGGGTAAGGGGTAGACTAGATGGACAGATTTTTAAGTGGCTGTAGGAGACACTGAAAGGCCTGTGACTGAGAAACAAACCTCGCCTGCTACCATCTATCTTTGGCCTTCACAGCTGGGGCAGGTTCCTGTCCTCCATAGCAGGATAAATATATCTGTACATGCAACCCATGAGCTAGATTACAGACTGCAGCTTCACCTCCAGGATCTAGAGTAACTTGCAAATACATTATGAGCTTCCCAATGGCATATTTAGGACAGAAACCACTAGGATCCCCACTCTCCTTTGGATTAAAGCCTTGGAAAGGGGGAGGTTAAGCTAGACCCACAGTAATAGAGACATGAAAACCTTCCTTAGTCAGGGTCCTGGATCCCACCAGTGCGTTTGGGCTCTTGTGTCCTTAGAACAGCAGCAGGACACAAACCCATCCTCATCACAGCAGGGGGCACTGACCTGCCTCAACTTCCAGCCTTGGTCTCTTCTTTCCTCAGTGCTAGGGGCTCAGGCTGACCCTATGTTGCCCATTTCAGCAGGAAATGCCAGGGAGATGTACAGTTTTAAGCAGCATTAAGTTAAATAAATAAGCATAAATACAATAAATTATATAAAGCAGTACATTCCCTAGGTTCCTGGGCATGTTTTTGTCTATAGTCCTTTGCCTTGTCTTTCTGCCCCTTCCCCGGTAGTCTGCTAAGATAGTCATGGTTTGAATTTAAGAGTCCCAGTCACACAAGTCGCCAACAAGCCCCCCCCCAGAGAGCTTCAGTACCTCCCCAGCCAAACTAGGCAGCTAGCGCATTTTTAGGAGGAGTGTGTGATAAATGGCTTAGTCAAACTCCTTCTAGAGCCATGTAGGCCAGTGCGATATGATGCAGGAAGGGCCAGTTGCTCACCTTGCTCTTTCAGCGCACGCAGAAGCTAGAGATGAAACAGACCTGCTAGATCATCCAGTACTCAATACTACCCTAAACGGGGCTGTGTCAGGTGATCTCACCTGCTTGAGAAAATCCTTCCAGAGTCAGAGATGGTGGAGATAGAGGGTCCATAGACCAACTAATCCACCTGGTAAGGCAAGATGGGGAAGCATAATAGTCACCACCGCAAATCCCCTCTGTCCTTTCACCACGCAAAGGGATGTGCCACTGTTAGAGCTTGATCCTGAGAGCTGCTGATCACCTGCAGTGCGGGTTAGTGGTTAGTGCACAAGACTGATGATGTGAGGTTGTATTCCTGGCTCTACCACCGAAACATCTCATGTGACCACTCTGTGACTCAGTTTCCCCATCTGTAAATAAGGACAATGATACTCATCCAGTTTTGCAAAGCACAACATAAAGGCATGGTGTCATTCTGATGTCAGTGTGTCTTGTGTGTGCTCAGTACCTCAGGATCAGGCTCTAACCGTGTTGGGTTCCCATTTGTTTGGTGTGTCCAATAATAACTCCTACATCGTTGCCCTTGCTTCTAGTCTCCTCCAGTCACCGAAGCTCGCTCAAAAGCCATGGGCTCACGTATGGCATTTTCAAGTCCCCAGCGACTGCACCGTGTCCCTCTCCTGCTCCTCCAAGACAAAAGAAAACATGCCCACCTGCTGTGGGATTCACACCCAGACAGACATCTCACCAGCTGCCCAGCGAACATGGCGAGCCCAGTACGTTCCATACCACAGCCCTCAGGCTTCCTCTCTTGACCTCTGCTGGGTTAAAATGCCCGATCATTAAAAATTAATCATTTTAAATGGCCTTTCAAAATAAATACAAATGCAACAGCCTGAGCTGCCTGCTGTGTGGATGCCCCTGTAGCTGCCACTATTGATAGCCCCGGAATACTCTCATTCTAAAAGGTTTGCCACAATGCAACAGGAAACGCACCAAAACGTCCCCTGTCTACAGCATCTTTCTAGGAAAGACAATTACCTGTGTGGCCGGTCCTTTTTTGCACCCCACTTCTAACATCTCCAGGGATCAGCCATGCAACGGGAGAGTGGGTGGCTTCCTGATACAGATCTATTCAATCCGTTTAGTTGCAATTGTGGTTTCTTTTTTTTTGTAAAAGGAAGCTGCTCCCTCTCCTTGTGAGTTTCCACCAGAGGTGAGATGTATGTAAATAGATATTGGATATTGGTACATGCCGAATGCCCTCACCTAGCTCACTATTTTATTTTAATTTTTTGGGCAGAAGGGGGGTTAAAATAGTGAGCAACAAGAAAAAAAAAAACCAGGGTGTTGTATTAAGTCAGAGCCATTAGGCTTTACATGCCTCTGACTGGGAAGTGAGCACAGATAGCCCTTTCAGCACAGCTGCAGCTCCTTAGCACAGGGGTGGCTTATTGACAGGGCCACGAACGCATGGAGGGTTGAGGAAAACAGAGTATGTAAAGGGGACGTTGTCAAGTGAAAAAGAACCCACAGGCTAAATTCACTGACTTCAATGAGATATGCCAGGGTCCGGATTAGCCAAGAATACCGAGCAACAACCCACGTCAGTGCCCCTCTACCTTGCCATTAATGTAACTTCTATTAATAAAAAGTGAAATGTTTCATTGAGAAAATCTGGTTCAGTTTCTGTGCTTTACTCAGCAAAATTAGGCTGGCCAGTTTAATGGCGAGTTGCACCCCTACTACAGTATTCTAGCAGAGGGCTCAGAACAAACCCCATTCACTACTGAATGAGAGTAGTTTCCTAGAGAACTCTCATGGCTCAAAGCCTGCTCAATTCAGTAGGCTACACCTACAAGGGACTGATGTCTTCTAGCAAAATCCTCCTTATTCTCAATGGAGCAAGCTAAAGTTGACAGTGTCCCCTTTAAATACCTGTTCAACATTCAGGTACCCTCAGGCGGGAAGAGGGAGGGGGAGGGGCATTTGCTCCAATTCTTCCCTTTAAAACAAACAGACAAACAAACAGCCAGGAATACACAGAAGAGAGGTGCATGGGAACAGGTAAGCGTGAGCTGCACTCTCCCGGACAGTGCCTCAGTGCTGGGAAAGCACAGCCCCCCCATCGCATCCCGTCCTACCCCAGAGACGCTGCAGTTCAACCAGTGTTGGAGGTCTGCACCCACGCTTCTCCTCCTCAGTACATAGGCTTTTTTCCTCTTTTAAAATCTGTATATAATATATATATATATTTATATTCTGTATATATATATTTATATGGTCTATATACACATATTGCACACAATCCTCTGGCCTCCTGTGTTCGCCTCTGTTAGTGGAAACGTTTCCGTTTCTCCTCTGGTTCCGACCCGTAGTCACGCGACCCGATGCCATTCTGCAGGTTTACTAGTGAATCCTTCATCTGCAAGACAAAAGCCACCCTGAGTGTTTGGCTGCTGTAAAGTCTTGGAGGCGCTGGGGCTTTGAACCTAGCCTCCCCGCCATGGGCTGGTGGAAGGTGTTCCTATTGCACTCCTTGGCTTGATACCAGAGTGCCTGGCCTGGAAGCGACAGGGAGTGAGAGGTGCATGGCCAGCTAGGCAGATGGAGCACAGAGTGACAACTAGGACCTAGGTTTCTGACAGATGCATGTTATTAAAACGCTATTGGAAGCAAATGCATGTTACAAACTGCAAGGTCTGTACAGACAGCCTCCTCTCTGTGGGGGAGGGTGGACACCAACCAGCAAACAGGTGGCAGGGCGGGAGTGTTCAAAAACATCATCCCCCTGCTCTAAAGTGCCCTAAAGGATCTCCAATGCTCACACAGAGCAGACCCCCTCCCTCTTTAAGGTCTCATGTGGAAGACCTGCACTCGGTAAGCTGCATGGGAGTCAATTTGTCTATTTTACCACGGGACTGTGGAGGGCTGAATGGATCAAACTGGGATGTGAACACCAAGCATTCCAGACCTGATGCTACATCCACGGTCTGGCCTATGGTCCTGGGTCAAGGAGAAGCTCCAGAATTCAGGATTGCTCTGAAGGTATCAAAGCTTACCTGCTTGCACTAGTCCTGTTTGAAGATGGGCCTGAAGGGGTCATGATGTGCATGTGGGGACAGCTAGAGACAGCCTGGGTAGGCAAGGATCTAGACAGACAGCAGGGTGGTTGTAGAAATGTTCCACCCAGTCTCATGTAATAGGAATTTCTGGGGCAAGTGACTGGGAGCTGCTGTTCTCACCTGGTCTAGAAGCATCACGGAGGATTTGATGATCTCACGCCACTTCTGCAGCTCTGTGTCATGATACTTCTGCTGGGACTCTAGCAACCGAGCCCACTCCGACTGAGACTGGGGTAACCTGCCAGGTGCACACAAAACACAAATGGTTTGGCTCTGGAGAAGCAAGGAGGTGGGATGGATGTAGGGGAGTTCCTGGCTGCTGAGTAAAAGGATGTCATTGACGATTCACCTCAAAGCCAGAGCATACACCCCACCCTCCCACACTCTTTCATTCATAAAACTTCCACCCACCACACATTGTCTTCCTTGGAAACCTCTGCCCAACCTCAGCTTCAGTGAAGATGCTTTGAAATGAACATTTCCAGACGTATGCAGTGCTGTAGCTGTGTCCGTCCCAGGATATTAGAGAGAAAAGGTGGGTGAGGTAATTATTTTATTGTCTCAATTTCTGTCAGTGAGAGAGACAAGCTATACATATAAAATATCTGACAACAACTACGTGCGTGAAACCAGACAATCACTACGCTCTCGAGAGTACTGCTCGTCTAGCAGAGTCTATAGCAGGAAAGGCCTGATTCTCACCCCCAGTGTAAGCGTCGGCTTGCTTGTTCCAATCCAAATAATTTATCTTCCCTTTAGTGTGTAAGGCTGGGAAAGAGGCAACTGGGCAGCTCTGGGCTGTGGAGTTTTGGAAAAGCCACCAGTGTCTACACGAAGTAATAGTTAGTGAGGGGCAAAGATAAATAAAATGCAAAGTTACCTTTCCGGTAGCCGCAGGCCCTGCCATGCGGTGAGGGTCTGGGTGGTGTATTCCAACATCCAAAGTTTGTAGAACAGCATCATATTGAGAATTACCAACAGCACCAGACTGGGAAGGAGAAAAAAGACAGTGGTGGAAACATCCCCAACTATATACATCATTCAAGCCCCTCCCTATAAAATGCCCCAAAGGCCCCAGGGTCCTGGATGCCTTAGTCAGCCGACGGCAGTGGCCGTTTTGCCTGAATAAGAACTGGGTGATCAGGGCCTGAAGCTTTAATTGGGAAAGAGAAAGAGACGCAGACAGAACTTCATGAAATGAACACAACTGAGGGCAGAGCCATGGGGAGACTGACAGATCAGCTCAGACAACGTATAGACCAAGTTTGGTGGATTAGGATTCCAGCTCAGCGGGTGGCGAGTTATATCGGATACTGAGAAAAGCAGGTGAAAAACACAAGAGTAAAGAGGTAAAAAAGAGACAGTACCTGAAACAAATCCTAATGGGAGCAGGAAAGAGAAAAGATGGAGGAGCTAGAGGTTAGAAACAGACCAGCACAGGGACAGGAGAAACTGAGGGGGAACGTCTGGTGGATACATATAATACACAGAAGGGAAGGAAAGAAAGGGTGGAGGAAGGAGAGGAGAGAGAAGGGAAGAAAGCTGTAGCTGCATGGGTGTTTCTCTAAGGACAATGCTCTTCTTTCCCTAGCAGCACAGCAGAGGTTGAGCGGTTCCTGCAGACCACTACACATGGGGCACCTGCACACGGTATTGTTCGGATTATAAATTCACATTTCAAGTTGCAAGCACCTCTTTCTCTATTTGCACCAAGCTGCGTGAGAGGAGCCTGACGGGACAGCATGCCAACCAATGCTCTCACTTTATATAAGGTCGCCACAACCTGGCATTTGTGGTGGTTATATCTATTAGATGCATCAGCGGCTCAGATAAAAGATGCCAGCCAAGATGGGAGGCTTTTAATTACCATGTTTGGGGCTGTCTGAGAACATCCCCACAGCTTCAGAACCAGTGGGCCAACCCCATTTTTCTGGCTAATGGCCATTGGCGAGATACAGTATTCTGAAAATATTACAAACGCTTTGATCTCTGGTGCACCAGTTTGGAAGCAGATGCATTGGTAGCCTCTAAGTCATTCCAATCAGACAGCTGTCTGGTAGCCTACTAACAGGGATTATTCTAAATTGATCTTTTGTGCTTTCTTACCTAAATGGCTGGGTGTGCCAGGTGCATCCGGCAGAAAGTGTTTTGGTAGAGAAGGTACTGGTATGTTCAGCAGCAAACATCTGCCATGCTGCCAGATACACCAGGTCAGTCTAACAGCAGATATCTGCAGCGCTGCCAAATGTGCGTCTAGCAGAAGATGCCTACCACGGTGCCAGAGTTATTGAGCACATCCAGCAGGAAGTATCTGGCTTGCTGCTAGATGCATCAGCTCTGTCAGAAAGCATCTTCAGCCTTATCCCAGCCAGGACCAGGGAGTGCAGAAAAAGAGGCACAGCAATTTAAAAAGTAAAATTCAAATGGTAAATTCAAATTTTCCAAACCTCTGAAAAGGCTGGTTGAGTTTGGGGCAAAAGATTGGGGTTGTTCTTACTTTATTCAAACTGGTTCAGCGGATCCTCTGTTATTAGGATCACGTTTCAGTTAGGCTAAGTCCTGGGGAAGATTTTCCTCTCTGTGCAGGTCACAGTAAATCATTAATGCTTTGTCAGGCACCTGTACAGTGTCTTTCCTCCAAAAGTCATTTACACACGAGTGCATTAACCTCCCAACAGCTTAAGTGGCAGGTAAGCATTGGGACTCCCATTTTATAGGTGGGTAAATGGGGACCAAAAGAGGTCTTGTAGCTGGACCAAGCTTGTTTGGATCATGTGTGCGTTTCTAATAAGCCCACCACCGTGGTAGCCATTGCGAAGTAAGTGGCAGAGACAGGACAAAAACCCAGCAGTCCTGATTTCTAATAGCCTGCTATAACCATTGTACAGGCACACCCAGTTCTCACCAATCCCTCCCCGCACTTTTTCTCTTCTAAGAAATCTGTTTATAATTCTAAGATTTCTTAGAAATCTCTTCCTAATGGGCTGGTTTCCTTCCAATATGGAATTTCTCCAAAACCCAGAACTCTGGAACATACATATTTGCAAGTAGCCAAGAAGGTTTCACTCCGGAATGTGATGAGAGGAAAACAGGTAGCAAACCGACTGGTCACATACAATAAAAACGAATGTAGTGAACACGTTGTAGTAGTAGTATAGTACCTTTACCATTAGCACTACAGTATAATAGTTTGCATGATAAATGCACCACATTTTCACTTTCCTGGGAACTGCTAGTTTGTTTGTATGTGGTACCAAGTAGGTAAATAAAAAAATTACAGTCTCTGCATTGTGCAAAATCCTTAATTTGTAAAATGTCTAAACCAAGACCCCGGATGCAATAAAAAGAACCTGTTTTATTCCTCGCTTTCCAAAAATGTTTCTGTTATTTACAATTCTCTCTTTTCAGTCATTATTTATGGGGTCTCATGTTCATATTCGTTTCTCTGGCCTCTCATCGGCTTAGTCTCCCTTCTCCTCTGTCGACTATAGATTTCCCCTCCCGACACAGCCTGCCCTTTCCCCGGCGCTCTGGTGAACAAAGCGTACTCTGTAGTTGAGCTACCTCCTAGGACTTCTAGGAATGTGTAGGAATGCAGGATTCTGCCTGGCTGAGGGCAAGGTCAGGCCTGGGGGGGAAGGGAGTGGGTTGGATAAAGAAAGAACCGGATAGGAGTCTGAGTCACAACGTTGAGATGTGGATCATCTCCAGCAGGAGCTGACCCAAACCTTTGACCAGAGCTAGAATTCAACTATATGGAACATTTATGAGGTGTTTTTTTTGAAAGGTTAATTTATTTGATTTTTGCTTTTGGGGCAGCGTCTGCTGGAGAAGATCCACATCTCAACATGGTGACTCAGACTCCTATCCGGTTCTTTCTTTATCCAACCCACTCCCTTCCCCACGGAGACAGGAGGACCCCAGGAGCGAGACTGAGCAAGCCAGGAGGGCGTAAGGAGTCACTCACACACAGCTGATAACGACCAGCAGCTTGGAGACGCTCTGCAGATGGAAGCCACTGGGACTGTCCTCAGGGACGTGCCGCGTCTGCGTGGAACCTGAGGAGAAGCATTTTGTCATGCATTTAAGTTATGTCCTAGGAAGAGCTCAATTCCTATCCTCTCCACACTCCCAAATCCCACTCCAACAATCACCCCCCAGGCTGAAATCCACTGCACCCCTACCTCTAAGAGGGGTCTAGCCCCCGGTCCCTCTCTGCCCCGGGCCCCCAGAGGGGCCCGGCCCCACCCCATCACCATCCCCGAAGAGCCCAGCTCCTAGCTGGCAATTCCATACCTGCCACGTGCTTGATGCGATGCACAACCTCCTCATCTGTGGGGGTGGTGACAGGACTCAGCACCTCCTCCAGGTGTGGCACCCGCAGGTGGGCGTGGGGCCGTTTCCTTCGGCGCAATGTGGATTGCTTGCTTATCTTCTCTTTGGGGGATTGTCTGTGGATCTCCGCTAGGTACATGCTCTCGGTTTTGGTCAGTTCACTCTCTGCAGTGAGTCAGGCAACGTGTTTAATATCAAGGGAAAATAACGGAGGGTCACTCTATACAAGGTCACTTTCATAGAGGCTTGGGACCATAACAACACAGTTTCCACCCAGTGCCACCCTCTGGGCCAAAGCAGGGCCCAGCACTGGCAGCTTCAGAAGATGAAAGCAGGCATATCCATAATGCACCTGGCCGAATGTCTGGTGCTGACCGCCTTGTGTTCATGCTAAAGCATTGAGATCTCACGACCCACACGTGTTAATGGGCAGCGCTAAATGTGAAGTAATAACATCATCCAGCTCTGTCTGAAACCCAGCCATGGTAGCCGACTCTTGCTAGTCTGCTATTGAATCCCACACCACCAGACTGCCTGCAGGAACGCATGTGCACACACCCCGATATCAACACACCACAGCCCCTTGGTAATGGTGGAACGGGTGAACGACTGCAGCCCTCACCTAAATGACGGAAATAATCTTCTAGGCCACTCCAGAAGTTTTTCTCGATGAAGGATTTCACAAGCCCCCACGGCTGCTTCCTGTAACGTAGCTCTGTAGAAACCCTGAGGGAAGAAAAGAACAAACCCAGTTACCCCTGAGCTGTCACCTCCTAATCTTTGCCCCCTGGATGCAGTGGGGACAGGTGAATCCACGGCCTACAAACCTTTGCTAAAGCAACAGAACACGTGTTATTTCTCCCTCTTATGATTTCGACGGTGACTATGGCTGGGGCCTGAAGCGCCAAAATGCTCCCCGTGGCCCATTCCTGAAAGCCTCTCCCTGTGGCAGTTCTTTTCAGCCCAGTGTCAAAATCCCCCCAGCAAATCTGGACGTGTACTGGATACGCAGCCAAACACTCGGGCGCTGATCCAAGCCCAGCCCAAACCTCCAAGGCTGCAGAATTTTACCCAATACTAACCTGCTGGCAGCTCTGCTTGCTCACTTGCCCTATGAATCTCTCACAGCCCTGTGCTCTCTGTCGGCGCCTCCCATTGCCCACAAGATTCAATGGATAGTACATAGCAGCTGTTCCTATGAACCATTTATTCAAAGAGAGGTTCTCTGGCTCTCGGCCACCTCCCAACCCTAACCCACACTTCCTTTGCATCAACTATACTGTCTGCTCAAGGGCCAGTGGAATAAGTAGCCACCTCTCCTACCACTCTGAAGAGCTATGGGGAGGTTCTGCTTGCAAGGGGTAAGGTATGGGGGGCAAAGACAGGCTTCTTGCAGTCTCTCCACCCTTCCCTTGTAAAGCAGAGGGCAGGAGTTCAACCTTTGTTATTTGTAAAGTGCCTTGAGATCCTGGGAGGAAAGGTGCTCTAGAGAGGCCGGTGGATGAGTATTTTTCATCATCAACAAATCCACAGTCCCTCCGAGTACTGTACCTGAGTCGGCTTTTGTTTCTGGCGACACGAGTCAACGTGTAGCGGTTAATGGTGTAGAAATAATCATGGTAGGGGACGTCGTGAGTTAGCACCTCTGCGTCTATCACGTAGCACTCGCTTTCTTGGCTGGCTTTGTACATTGTCTGCGCAAAGCGGAGAGGAGAGCACAGGGAAGTGGTTAGTCTGGTCAGAGCAAGGCCAGGACAGAGCATGGCTCTTCACTGCAATCGTGCAAAACATCTCATGCAGAAGTAAGAGCCACCTATGTGACCCGTTTGTGTTAAGTTTTCCGTTAGCAGCTGAGTTTTCCTGGTGTGAATATTCATTAAAAAACAAAACAAAATTTAAGCTCAAGTATTTCCCTATGGCAAATCTGAAATTGGAAATTTGATTAGAATGTTCCAAACTCAAGCAGTTTGGGTTAGTTACATACCTACTCCCATCAGAAACAATACCCCAATCGACTTATGTAACGGACCAATGCTAACGTTCCCCAATAAACTGATCTCTGGCTCTTTATATTGTACAGAGGGAAGAATTCTGCAAATATCTGTGAACAACATAAATATCTGTTTCTTGGCATGAAGGCTAAGTAGCATTGCCTTACTGGAAAGAATAATCAATTACTGCAGTCAATGGGCCCAATTCTCTATTGCCATGTACACTGCAAAATTATTCACACCAGTGCAAAATGAGTGTAAATCATTACCATTCTGGGTTTGGTAGCATTTCACAAAGGCTTTGCACTGGTGGAAATGGCTACACAAGGTGCAGGACAATGGACAGTCTAGTCCATTTACTTTACAAGGTAACCTCGTCACTTTAACAAGCCGGAGACTGTACAGACAGGGGAGTCTCCAGAGATTTCATAAGGCTTGTCTTCGCCGCAAAGGTAATTCAAGTTATACTATAATTTGAGTGTTGCCCCTAACTTGAGTCCCATCCGCACAACAGAAACCCTTAACTCAAGTGTGGAGATGCTTTTAACTCAAGTTGTCCCCCTCGGAGGAGAGGAGATACAGGTTACAGATAAGCGAGCAGAACACATTAGCTGCCAAAGCAATTACTCTGTGCAACTCAGGTGTTATTTTGCAGTGGGGCCACTCTCACTCAAACAAAGCTAACTCAAGAGGAGTTAACTCTGCTGGGAAGACACATCCACGGTGTCTCATGTACACCTCCCCTCCCATCATGATAATGCAGGCCATGTCCTCCTCCACCAGGATAACACCTCTGTAGGAGCTGCAGCATTTGCTTACACAGGACAACAACAGGAAGGAAGGATCAAGCAGTGTCAGATTCTCTGTAGAGTGACAAGTGCTTTGTCCCCTTGGGAATAAAATTATTTGCACTGGCTTCTTCTTCTCTTCATTTCATCTCCCCTTTTCCCCACTCTGGTCTGTGCCTCTCTCCCCCCACTCTGCCTTTTCACACATGATCCTCTGCTACCCGGCTGGCTCACTTCTCCTTCCATCCTGCATATGCTTCCCTGTTGCATGGTCCTTTTCTTCACCTTGGGTTCCCATCTCTTCTGCTCCCTCAAACAAGTTGTCCAGCCACACTGTCGTCTTCTCCCCCTGCTCCCCAGGGCATTCTTCCTGACTGCCTCATTACTGTCTCCCTGGCTTGCCTGGATACTCCTCTCCTGGGCTGTGGCTGACAACTCCAGTGCCACTGCAGGCTCTGCTCTCAAGGCAGAGGTACTGTTTCCTCCTATGCAGCTGCAGCTACTAAGTAAAGACAGCCAGACTGGCTCCTCTTCCCTGTTTCCAGCTGCTTTTACTGACCTCTAGCTCTGAGCACTTCTATGCAATAAAGAGCCTGGACTCCTACACAGGCAGTTGGAAAGAGGAGGAGCGACCACCATGTGACCCACCTGCTCCCTACTGACCACCAGCAAATGTCCCACAGGCTGTACCTCGGGAACCACTGGTGCAGACAGCGGCTTTGCTGTTTAATTAGGCTGTTTGTTCTGGGAACAGATTTCCCTTCACCTGGAAATTCCCAGTCACTTCCCTGTAGCACAACTTAGCCATTAGAATTTGCAATGATAATGAGTGGCAAATTAATAACAGAGGAAGCCAGGCGCGGGGGGGGGAGGAGAGAGAGAGAGCACGCACATCCCAGAGCCCAGGGTATTAAAATAAGTCTCTGATCAGTCTCTGTCTGGCACCTTCCTATTCTGCTTCCACATACCTGAGTCTCAGTGACAGTAGCAGTTTTCGGGGCGAGAGGATTGGTGAGGGTGATTGTGTACAGGATTGCTCTGCTCTGATTGCCATTTTCTTCCTTCTTCCACGGATGAAAGATAATCTCTGGGAAAGGAAAGGCCACCGAGTTAGAATCTTGACTTGACAGAGGTGTTAACTCAGTGGGAAGCTATCCACACATCCAGGCCCAACAGAATTGGCCCTCATTGCTCCCCTCATTGGCAGGCTTGAGACTGAAAACCTCTCCCTCCCCTAGCCAGGGTCTCCCCAAGGACAGAGGCACACTGGTGTGGAGGGGCTGGGGAAGCTGCTGACTGTCCCACAGATACACCAGGACATCATTCTCCAGGGCTGTCAATCCAGCATCCTCCGACAGTGCTCACATTCACTTCATCTTTCTATTTTTTTTAATAAAGAGTTTTGTATTGACCTTTCCAGCCACCACACTTTTCAAGTCCCGTGAGGCTGCCAGTTGAGGGAGAGGCAGAAAACATGTAGAAAGAGGCTCATTGTAGCATTGCTTTAGCTTTAGAAATGCCTGAGGAATTCCAAGGTCTGGTTTTTCTCCCCTTGTCCAGCATCAGGGATAGGGTCAGGGGGTCTCTCTGTCTTCCCACAAGACGATGTTAGAGCTACAGTAAAAACATGGACTGTACTACATCAAGAATCACTCTCTGCCTGGGCTACAGACTGTGCCACTCTGTGATGTGCTGGGATTTGCATGCAAAGCCAGAGATGCTTTCTACTGGGAACCTGGTGCCTGGAGCTGGGTGCGTGATCAAGGGTGGGCTGAGCTTAAATGGGGCCTGGAACTTCCAAAGACTTCAGGACTCCCTCTGGTACCCCCAGCCCAGCCAGCCTCACCCTCCAGGTACACTTGTGGCAGCAACAGCAATACACTAAGTTGTGCCTCTAAGCCGTGCCCTCCAAACCAACATGCAGAGGCCCCCTTCTGCATTGCCCTTAGCACCTAGTGCTCAGAGAATTCTGCGTCAATCAGCTGCTTGGCATGGGGCACGTGCTAGGATGGTGCATGGCTCACCAGAGAACCGACGTTGTTCCATGAAATCCCTCTGGAACTGGGAGTCAGTGAAGAGCAGGTCATACAGTTTGTCCACGCTGAAACTGAACACCTCATTCATGTACTGCCGGCCATTCAGATCCTCGTAAAAGGCCTGAACTTCCCCTGCAGGAAGACAGAGAGAGGTGAGAGCGCTGCTGGCCTCCAGGCCAAAGGATACTGCACCAGACTCAAAGGCTCCCCTTTTGCAGTGCCAGGACTGTACCATTTACAGTCTGGGAAAGGAGAAGAGCCCAAAGGAGACACAGTTGGTTCCCTTTCTTTTAATGCCCCCAGGGCAATGACTGTAATATTAGTAGTGTAATTCACCCCATGGAGTTATTTCATTGTTTCCCTTTCATCTGGCCCATGATGCTGAGTTGCTGAAGACCTCGAAGATCCAGTAAAGGAGGATAGCACAGTATCCCCACAATACCTCCAATTGGGAAAGATAGCACCAGGGCATTCTGGGACACCACAGGACAGCCATACCCGCCATCACTGCCCACCTTCATCATGGGTCTCTGACGAGTCGCTGAGCTCCGTTGGAATGTCCTCGTTGTCGTTGAAGTCCAGGGAAGGGGAGTTCACCGGGGTGATGATCTCGATCTTGTCTCCAATGATGTTTTCAAGGGTGAGTTCCTTCTCAAGGGGACTCTCCACCAACTCCTCCTCCTCCGGAAGCATCCCGTCAAACTGGGATGAGGCAGAGTGCAAGAAAGGCGATCAGGATGCCACCACAGAGAGCTACGTGATACGATTTTGACACACACACCCCCTATCAGTGAAAATACCCACTGGCATAGCTCTTTCTCTGACACACTCACACACACACCCCCTACAGGTCAAAGACTAGAGCCCAAAGGACAAACAGTCCTCCAGGTTGGGGCTGAGCAACGGGCCAACCACCCATCCTCATAAAAAAGGTTAAATTATAAAAGCACAACAAGGTAGCCATTCCTGCAAACAGCATGATAGACAAGGATGGGGAGCCATCCTCCTGCCCTAAGTGACATCTGATGGTGTGGGAAAGATTCACATTAGGGCTGTCAAGCAATTAAAAAAATTAATCGCAATTAATTGTGCTGTTAAACAATAATAGAATACCATTTATTTAAATATTTTTGGATGTTTTCTACATTTTCAAATATATTGATTTCAATTATAACACAGAATAAAAAGTGTACTGTGCTCACTTTATTTTTGATTACAAGTATTTGCACTGTAAAAAAGCCAAAAGAAATAGTATTTTTCAATTCAACTAATACACGTACCGTAGTGCAATCTCTTTATCATGAAAGTTGAAAAAAAAACTGCATTCAAAAATAAAATAATGTAAAATTTTAGAGCCTGCAAGTCCACTCAGTCCTACTTCTTGCTCAGCCAATCACTCGGAAAACAAGTTTGTTTACATTTGCAGGAGATACTGCTTCCTGCTTCTTGTTTACAATGTCAACTGAAAGTGAGACCAGGCAGTCTCATCGCACTGTTGTAGCCGGCGTCGCAAGATATTTACGTGCCAGATGCGCTAAAGATTCATATGTCCCTTCATGCTTCAATCACCATGCCAGGGGACATGCGTCCATGCTGATGACCGGTTCTGTTTGATAACGATCCAAATCAGTGCAGAATGAGGCATGTTCATTTTCATTATGAGAGTCAGATGCCACCAGCTGAAGGTTGATTTTCTTTTTTGGAGGTTTGGGTTCTGAAGTTTCCGCATCGGAGTATTGCTCTTTTAAGACTTATGAAAGCATGCTCCACACCTCGTCCCTCTCAGATTTTGGAAGGCACTTCAGATTCTTAAACCTTGGGTCAAGTGCTGTATCTATTCTTAGAAATCTCACATTGGTATCTTTTTTGTGAAAAAAGTGATTTTTGTGAAAAAATCAGTTTTGTGAAATCTGCAGTGAAGGTGTTCTTAAAATGAACAACATGTGCTGGGTCATCATCCGAGACTGCTATAACATGAAATATATGACAGAATGCGGGTAAAACAGAGCAGGGGACATACAATTCTCCCCGAAGGAGTTCAGTCACAAAGTTAATTAACGCATCATTTTTTTAACGAGTGTCATCAGCATGGAAGCATGTTCTCTGGAATGGTGGCCAAAGCATGAAGGGGCATACAAATGTTTAGCATATCTGGCATGTAAATACCTTGCAATACTGGCTACAAATGCGCCATGCAAATGCCTGTTCTCACTTTCTGGTGACACTGTAAATAAGAAAAGGGCAGTATTATCTCCTGCAAATGTAAACAAACAAACAAAATCTACATTTGTAAGTTGCTCTTTCACGACAAAGATTGCACTACAGTACTTGTATGCGGTGAATTGAAAAATACTATTGCTTTTGTTATCATTTTTACCGTGCAAATACTTGTAATAAAAAATAATATGCATTTTGATTTCAATTATAACACAGAATACAATATAATATATGAAAATATAGAAAAACATCCAAAATATTTAATACATTACAATTTGTATTCTATTGTTTAATAGTGCGATTAAAACTGTGATTAATCACGATTAATGTTTTGAGTTAATCGCGTGAGTTAACTGCGATTAATCAACAGCCCTAATTGATATATTTATTTTTGATACACACAGGGACCAATTTTTCCAGGTCTTAACACCTGCCCTTGACTTCAACAGCAGCTGGGGCTGCCCAACACCTCTGGAAATCAGGCTAACGCTCTGTGTGCATTCCCATGTATTCCCAAAGATCTTTTTATATTTCAGTTAAGCTTGAGCACATACATAAGGATATAAAAATATATCACATCCAAGTTCCAGTTATCCTCAAACAAGCACTACAAACCCAGGAAATTCAGAGTTGAGATTAAACCCCAACAGAGTCCAAACGTGTCAAGGTATGGAAACGTGCAGTGAGGCCACCTCAGTCACCTTAACTCTGCCTTGGAGTGACGCCATGAGTGGAAATAGATTTTAGGGGGGGAACCAACAACCCAAATCTATCTTGAAAAATCAGTTTCCTTTAATCTGAGACCACAGATGCCAAAATGCTTTCATTGCCACCATATAACAGGCATGGTTAATGACTTTCAGGGCAGGCTGCAGGTCCCTCTTCTTTTTTCCCTTGTGGAGGGTCGCGATGGGAGATCGTAGCAACACTTGTGAGGGGTGGGTTATTTTTGGTTGCATTGGAAGAGGGACTACAGGAGCAGCCTGTTACAGCACGGTTTATTTAAGAACTGTCAAGAGGAGGAGGATCAGGAACTCCTGTTTAAAGGGCGTGTGTATAGGTCTAAATAAATAAATAAAGAGACAACAGTATCCCCAAGAGATTACACATAACTTCTGCAGGCTGCTAAATTATCGACCTGAATCTCTCCTCTCTCCTCTAAGTCACAGCTTGTCTTTCCTTCAGCTTATTTGTACGCTCCTGGCCTCTGGTCTGCAATCAGATTTGGGATGGGGTAGGGGAAGGAGACACATACTGAAGTTGGCGCTTCACTGCTCCCTGTGGACGTCAACGTGCAGGCGGTGATGGACTTCTTGGGCAGCAGAGGACTAGCTTCAGGTTTGGCCTCCATGCTGCTCTTGGAGGAGCTGTCATTCACTTCATTTTCTTCTACAGGGATCTCCTCACAGTAGCTGTAAATCCAGAGAGAACACACCAGTCTTTAATTCTGTATTTCCCTAGCTCTGGCCGGGACTGGAGATGGGAAACGTTGGAATAAGGATGTTCTCATGATATTTCCAGCCTGAGCGGAAGCAGAAATGACTGGGAATCTTGTGGGAACAGCCTTTTCCCAACATGGTTCCAGCCCCCAAAGTTTCAGGTGCTTATACAAATTATAAAGAGGTTTTGTATCTTCTGTCAGGATAATGCATTGGCTTGTGTGCAACAGCATGTCCTCACTGCAGTGGTTGGCTCCAGTCAGTGTAACAACCTGCTACTAGCTAACAGAGCTACTACTCCTTTAACTCAAATAGCAAGGCACTGTACTTTCAGTGCTGAAGGTCCATTGACACCTGTGGTACTGGTACAGGTAAAAGGGTATGGTGCATGATAAGCATCTGAAGCATCAGGTTCTCAGTCCAGACCTCCAGCCTGATCCCACAATTCCTTGCAAGCTGAGTTCAATGGTAGTTGGAGGCGTGTAAGGGATCGGGGCCCTAATTTCCTGAGGGCATCACCAGCATTCACAATTCTTCATCACGAGCTAGTTTCACTTACTCACCCCATAGTGTTGAAATCATCATCAGGAGGCACGTAGTCTTCATCATCGCTGGTCAGCCCCAGTTCATTCCCGTAACATTGGTGGACGAAGTGCCAGAGCTCCTTTGGACACAGGGGCTATGGGGGAGGGGGAAAGGATAAGACCATGCACCCTTCCATCTAAGAATCCCAGACACTAATTAATTCATCTCGCTTAGCACTTACACAGCCCTTCACACCTTCAGTGTGCCACCCTAACAATGACTGACTCATCCTCACAACACCCATGTTTGACTCACCCAAGGTGTCACAGCTGTGAATAGAACCAAGGACACCTGATACTTATTCCTCTTCTCCCACCATTAGGTAACACTCCCGCCCAGTGAATGCCAGAGCCCAGGAAAAGCCTGGCATAAACATGCTGGGATACAGGTCAGGCCTATGGGGGTCTCAGCCCTAGGGGAACTAGTGGAAGTTTCTGCCCGTGCCCTAAGGCAGGGAACTGTTGTTGGGTGTTACAGTTTCCTAGAAAGCTGCTGAGCTCTCTCTTTCTCTCTATATTTACCGATTTAAAGCCATTTCTTTCATTTTCAGAGGAGGGCTAATTTCCTGCCTGGGACCTGAAGTGAGAGTTCAGTAATCTAGCTCGCAGTGGCCTAGCGTCTTCTCTCTCAGGGCCAAAAGCTTGTGACAGTCTGTTCCTGGCAATGAACCTCATTGATGCTGGGAGATTGTTTGCTACAATGAGCCTGCCACAAAGCTCACTGGGTGAGCGGAGACTGTGGGCATACATATTCCCACATAGAGAAATTGCCCTGGATTAGAGATTATAGTTGCCACACCATTACCACGCAAGCTTTTGCTGTCTGCTCAAGTTCTGTCCTAGACAGCTCTGGGTGACCCCCTTGATTTCCTATACAACAGCCTCATGGCTCTTCAGATGCCTGGGAAAGAGGAGAGGAAGCACCAGGATGAGGATAGCCCTGGAGCAGCTAGGAGAAGGAGACCTGCTTACAAATCTCCCTGAATATCTCCATCGTGCTGTATAAATATCATCCGCCATGGTAGTTCTCTCCTTCATGTATGTTTTTACCCTCTTGCGCTGCCACTGCTCCTCCCATTTATGTGCCTCACACTGACGTGATACAAAGGACCTCTGGGTTTTCTGACAAGTTTGTTTCATTTTTTTTTAAATGGAGGCTGCCCACCTTTTGCTGCTACAGGTAAAGCCATTAAACAAAACAAAACAAAAACCGGATGTGGCTTTGAGGAGACAGAGATATTTTCCCCTGGGGCTTTAAACTGAGAAGACTAGCGTTACTGTGAAGAGATGGACTCGTGGCGTTACTGTGAAAAGACCATACACAGCACTAGTTAGAAAGAGAAACAAAATTACCGGGAAGCTCAATCTTCAAAGCCTAGCCCTTTGGGGATCAAAATCAGCTGATCAGAACGTGACTACATCTTCCAACTATGCAGGGAAGAGGCAGCAGAACTTGTGATGCAGAGGTTTTGGGGGACAATAAAGGGATGTTTGTTTCCAACAGGAAATAAAATGACAAGCAAGAAGGATTTCTCACTAATTAAAAAAAAAGAAATCCCGTGAACCTTTCGGGAGTTTGTTGGTTTGAATTTTTCCCAGTTGTTGCTGTCTGTGACAAGGCAGGAAAATCTTAATCAAGGTTACAATGATTTAACCATGTCACAGTAATTGTGAAAATGATGGCAAGGCTCAAATGGGAAACAGATTTACCATAGGAAAATCTAATTCCATTTCATCCTCTGCCCATCTGCAGTCTATTAAATTCATATGCTTTATCAAGGGCACCTGGCTGGATTTCTTTCTTCTTTCTCCCTCCCCCCTACCAGCCTTGGGCCTGAATTCGGGGAAAGAGAGCTTAAAGTATTTCCTGTCTTCACCGCTCCAAATCTCAGTTCCTGTTTGTTTCAAGCCTCGAACTAAGGACACAGACTTTCTATATGAATTTAAATAAGGCTGTTTCATTCACAGTGTTACACTGGTGATACACCAATGTATCGCAGAGAGAAGTTTATCCTGCTGCATATTAACACTGCCTTGTCCTGAAATCAAGGCCTGCTTTAGTTAACATTTCTAGTATGTTGTGAGCTCACACTCCACGTGTGTGGCATTGCTGAGCACACCCTCCACGTGCTGATAGCCCTATCTGTTCCATCCTGGACTCTCACTCCTGTAACGAGGATGGACGTACTGGTACAGGATGGAATCTGCAAGTCAAACCAGATACATTCGGGACTCCAGCTGCTGCAGAATAAGTGGGATATACTGGCACGTTTTGGAAACATACTCTTCCAGTGTTACCCTATGCATCTTGCGTCTTTCTCCATTGCTCCCCCACGCGCTGGGATGTCGTAGACTCATGCTCTGTCTCTGTCCCATCCTTGACTCTCCCTCCTGCACTAAGTGCCTGTTAAGCCCTTTGCCTATGTGGTCAGAGATTTCTGCTACTCCCTGGGACTATTTTTTGGGGCGGGGAAGGGGGCAGTTCATTTTAAATGAGGGCCTTATGAAAACTATTGCTGGACCACATATGTATTCATACTCCAGCAGTGGTAAAAGAGGTGGGACACATTTTCAACAGAGGAGCTTTAATCTGTGTGCCGATATGCCTCTGCACAGAAGTAATTCTGTGAGGAACAAGGGTAATTGCACTTGCTTGCACCTGATTTACTTGCACAGATGTGCATTTACTGTACCTACAAGTTTATGTATATGGATTAGCCACAAGCATTGTGGATTGCTGCATGGGTCTGATCTGGGGCAGCACACATCCAGCTAGCAGACTGCCCCAGCCAAGGAGCAGGGAGCACTGCTACATGCACGCAGGAAAGTCTCCGTACCTTTTCGAGGAGAGCATTCTGCCAGAGTCTGAACATCATCATGTACGTCCTATCTCGGGCACCGAAGGAAGTGAAAAAGTGCTGAAAGGGCAGAGACAGAGAGAAAAAATGAGTGCCAGCGAAAGACAGAGGAACCCGATCTCAGCCTTCATGAGCAGAACACATGGCGAATCGACAAGCTTATTGAAAGAACTGAGCAAAGTGGGGGATCTGGGCGTCACTTACCCAAGGGAGCATGTTTGAGGACATGATAAGTAGCCATTAACTCAGTAATCTACACTATGAGTCAAGAATTCATGTGCAGGGGGTTGTATCAAAAGTGCTTTGGGTGAGAACGTCTACCTGCTCCACATGCTGTATGCAGTATCCCTGCTTTAAACCCAACCCCATGCTGGGCTACGCTGACTCTCTGCGCATCTCCCTGAGGCACCAAACGAATGCAGTTTCATATTTGAAATCCACATGGGGATTTGTGTTACATCCCTATATCCTCCTTCCCCAACACCACACCTCAACACTTCACATTTATTTATTTCTAGCTGAGGATCACAAATTGCTTTCAATTAGGTCCCTCAACACCCCTGGGAGGTAAATATTAATATCCTCATTTTAGAGATGGGAAATCTGCGGCTCAGAGAGGGAAAGTGATTTGGCCAAGTGGCAGTGATTAGAACCCAGGAGCCATGATTTCCCAGTCCCCTTCCCTAATGCCATCCTTGCATAACCCTTTACTCACACAACAATCCATTCGCTGCCCTTAGATCAGCCAGCCTTATCTCAGGGTCTGGATGCTGTCCCTACATTACCCTCATGTCCCCAAAGCTCCACTTGGAGGTGTTCTTTGTGAACACTGCATCTACCCAATGCCAACATCAGCGCTGATCCCATGTTAGGTATTTATACCTCCCCAGCACCAGACTAGCTAGCACTCACCTTGTGCAGATTGGCCAGGAGTGGAGGGTTCTGGGACGTACCTTTTCAGTGTCAGTGCAAACTTGGATGGCGTTAGGAATGAGCCGTGCAGTTTTTTCCTTGGTCATGGAGCAGATATCCTTCAAACGGACTGTCAGCTATGGTCAGGGCCATGGCACAAGGGAAAAGGGATGAGAGAGAGAGAAAGGGGATAAAGAGGTGAGTTAACGAAGAAGTCACAGCATGCCCAGAATGCTTTTGAGATGGGCAAGAAAGTGCTGACACCCCTGGAAAGCACAACCCTGATGGAGAAGTAAGAGGGTCTTTACCAGTGTTTCCCAGCGGAAGATGTTGCTGTAGAAACAGATCCAGTTTTCGGAGAGGTAGAGGCGGCCCTGCAGGAGAATGTCTCTTTGAAGCGCACATGAGTAATCTGTGGATAGACACCAGAAGATAAGCAGGGAGCAGGACCACTGGCATATTGCTTGGGCTGGCAGGCCAGACAGAACCACAACTATGCCAAAACAAGTCACAGAGCTGAGCCAGGAAAAATGGCTGTATTTTCCTTTCCACTGTTCAGTGTCATTATTCATAGCTCTGCCCGGCTGAACCATCCCAAGCAGCTCTTCTCCCTCCTTAGGGTTTGCACCTTTCAGATAATAACAGGTGGTTCTCAGATCATCACTCACACACAGTACAAGTGAATGGATGCAGTGCGATGAGTAGCAGTTAAACCACTGCAGCACGGTGGCTTAATTGGGGGTGGGAGAAATGGGCAACATCATGTAAAGGGGGAACGCAGAGCAGGTGTGAAGAAGGGGCTACAGTGGAGAAGGTGGAGCAGTGTGCCTGCTAAAATGCGTAACCCAAAATAAACAAGGAAAAGGCCCAGGTGGCAACTCTGGACCTCCATGCTGACACACGTACGTGGAGCTGGATGGGAACTTGGCACAGCTGGGCCTCTTCAGGGGCTTAAACTTTACCCACCTGTGCTGCGGCCTTTGCTCTAACCCTCCTTTCCCCCACCCCTCCACACGCTACTCCTTGCCTGCTTATACTCAGCCCTTTCTTCTCCCCTTCCCTCAGATAACTCTCCCCTCCATCGGACAAGGATTGTTGTGGTAAGTAACACGAGTTAACAGCTGCAAACCAGCTCTCAGCTAACCCTCGCCTGACTCACCAAGTGGGTCGCAGACATTAGGCGCCAGATCCTGAGCCGGAGCCAATCAGTGTTGCTCTAGTGACGCCAGCAGAAAAAGGGCCATTTGCACCAGCTAATGATCGGGCCCTACGTATACAGGAGGCAGGCAACGGGCTTGTTCACTCTACACTTAGAGCTGTGTGCAGAGTACAGCCACTGCACATCTCACTAGTATGGGTGTGAACAGCTGTGCGGAGGGTGAGGCACTGCTTAGGTGGGTAGAGTACAGGGGACTCGGCCTCACCCCTGCCAGAGCCTTTCACTGCGGTGTGGAGCTAATCACACACTACATGCCACTGCAAGTGTAGACAAGGCCTCAGGGTGATCTCTTTCTAGAGATAATGGACTCATGCACCTGCCCCTGAGCTTCCTACCGAAACGTCTGCCCGCAGCCCAGCAGGGCACGGTGCAGAAGGACAGGGAGGAGCCCAGCCAGCCTTACCGACTATGAGGCGCTCGGTGTCGGGAAGCTGTTTGAAGAGTTTCCTGAAGTCTTCGTTACGTTGTTTATACGTCGGACTCAACACCTGCAAATAACGGAGTGACCGTGAAAGAGGGACTGGGAGTGGTGGGGAGAGAAAGACAAGGACATCAGGGCATGGTGGTGCAGGGAGGAGATTTGATGAGTTTACAAAGCAGGAGACCAGGAGATGTTATCCCAGTGACACATCGAGGGGAAGATTGCGGGCTTAGTTTAGTAAGTGTGCAGAAGGCAGGAATAAAGGAGGAAGAGACCCTGACTTGTCAGAGAAGTGGGAGCAGCAAGCAGAAAGGCTATGCCACTGTCTGCTCGGCGGCAGTGTGGAATAGCACAGCAGTGATAGCTGCAGGGAAGGAATCATGGACTGCAGACTTTCCTAGCAGCAGGTGCTAGGGGAGCTCTGGACGTGGTGGACCCCACCAACTATTCCAGAAGGTAGCAATGCAGGGAATGGTATAGGAACCCCAGCATCAGGTGCTTCCCCTGCAGGGAATGAGGTAGAAACACTGGCAGTGGGAGCTCATGGATGCTGAAGTCTGGAGCTATCCCAGCGGAAGCTGCTATTTTGAAGACTGAACCGCAGCACACCCATGACTGCCGACAGGCGTGGTGCCGGCACTCTCATGGGAAACAGGAGAGGCTGCGGGCTGCAAGCGGGGACTGTACGCTGGCCCGAATGAAGACAATCAATGGAGGTTTTGCCATTGGCTGCAGCGAGACCAGGAGCTGGCTCATCTCTCATGTTTACTAAACTTTAGTATGAATCCATCTCAGGAGCGGTAATCTTGGCCAAATGCAGCCTCCCCCATACCAGACAATGCTGACTTCTGAGAACGGCTAAACCTCCCCTGCCGGTAGAGCCTGCTGAGAGCTATGAATGGAGGCAGGTAGAAATGCCAATGTAGCACATCTCTCCTCTAATCCAGAATGCTCCCTTCTCCTTCTCCTGGAGTACAGCCCCATCTGTCTAATCCCTTTCCACCCCTGTTCTAGACGAGCAACACTTTCCATACATCAGAAAGGCAGGTGAATGAGGGCAGAGCACAGGGAATTCAGAAGCCACCTTCTGCTAGAGGAAGGGGAGCGAGAGGGAGCCAGGGAGATTCTTTGCCATGTGTATTACAAAAGTCTTAGCACAGGAAGAAGTGAAGAAAAAAATCATGCAAAAATCAGTCCCTTTCATTCCCCTGAGAACTGTCTCACTAAAAATTTAGCTGCACCCCCCTTCGAGTTTGATTAATAAGCCATTAATAGTTCTTCACTTCATCTAGCCCCTTCAGAGACAGTCTGTGGACCCAAAGATAGGCACTTCATTACAATGTCCCAGGCTTGCATTGGACAGAGAAACTGACACGTGTGCGGACTGGGAATTTACTCACCAATATGCCAGTCTGAGCATCCAAATGCGGGCTCAGGGCTAGAGGTGGGCCCAGCGGAGGAGTTCCAGCCTGGACTCAAATGTCTCCCAAGCTCACGGTGGGGTGAGCTAGGAGAAGGGATGCAATCAGAACTGAGGTTTTGATTCAGCCCATTAGAGAGACTGAGTTGAGCAGTAAACTTTGGATCTGGATCAGAACCTTCCCCTGCAATCAGGGACGTTCCGATCCACAATTTTGGCTTGGGACTCTCCATGAAGGCTCCCGTATTTAAAAACTGGAGTCTCCAGAGTCTTCCGTTTGGCAGTGGGATCTAAGTGACAAAGAGAGGTGGCACCAGAACTTCTGTGACACTGATAAATGAAGACACTCACGGCTGGAATTTCTTCTGATCCTGGACTGTCATATTCTTGGGGTGAGCTGTTCAGCAGGTACCACAGCAACGCCTCGTTCTCTTGACCCAGCATGGGGCCCCAGAGCACGCCACACTCCAACAAGCAATCCATGACACCCCCTCGATACCTTCGACCTCGCCGCCACCCTCCCCTTCTCCGGCTCCCACTGCTACTTGCACTGGTTCCGATTCAAAGCCAATGAGGATGCAACAGCAGCAGCCTGCTTCTCTCCTCCTCACATTCAGCTCTTCCGCCCCAGCAGACGCTGCAGCTCCAGAGAAGAATCGCTCTCCAAAAGACTTTGAAAAAGTGGCTCATAAGGGGAACTTATTGGTCAGCGCGATTTGCGCTCTTGTGGCTTCTCTCTTACTGGTCACCACTCGGGGTCTCCCTTAAAGGAGCACTGCAAAAGTGCCTTCAGCTGCAAGAGTCCAAGCGGGGCTGCAAGGGGGCAGCAGTGCCTTACAGACAGTCACTTACACAGTCCAGCTCTCCAGGACCCCACAGGGTTAGCAGTAAATCAATTTCTGAGGCTGCTCAGGACACTGGTATGCAGCTCACCAATGCAGCCTGCTGATCAAAGAAGCAGTAACTTATTTCTCCAGTGCCTGCCTCAGGTTCTCCTCTCCCATCTCCTTTCTGCTCTGAAAGGCAGCTTTGGTCTTTGTTAATTTTTCTCATGGACGGCGCGGGTGGGGAGATACTGAAATGACTTGCACATGCTTTAAGTTACTGGATCTGGGTAACTCTGTCAGCCAATGCCCTGCAGTAACCCAGGCTCAGCCCTGCCTCCAACAGATGTTTCCTGTAATGGAAAGTTGTTGGACAGAGCTTGTGTTTAGGGGGAGGGGAAGTGAGGAGGAGAGCACAGCTATCATGAAATCAGGAACATGAGGGGAGACTGGACTGGTCTGGAGCGCTATTACCCCAAGATGCCTTTGAAAAACTGGAGCTCCTCCTTTTATTCAGTAACCAGGTCCACATTTGCAAGGTAGGGTGAGGATTGCCTTCAGGCTCCAGCAGCTGGACTCTTTGAGGGTTTCAGGGAAGATTGGTTTAACCTTCTTCTGCAATCCACAGTGACTGCCCCCCTCACTACCCCTATCCTCCTTAAAGTGCAGAAATGCTGAAAGGAGGAAATGCACAAGAAGATTTCGGTAATATGGCACAGCTCCTGTTCAGAATGCAGGGTCACTGATGATGCTGATTCTGTGGGAGCTGGGCCCGAGTGTATCCAGTAAAAGACTCAAAGAACTGGGTACAAGTACATCCAGAAAACCTCAGCTCTGGCAAAGCCAGAGGAACCAGAATAGGGCTTAATACCAGGCACAGGGACTGTGACTCACTGATGCAAAAGAGAGATTCCTGGGGAGGCAGGCAAGCAGGGTGCGTTTGGTTTAGTAATCTCTCTCACCCCAGACACTCAAAAGTGGAATTGCTGAAGCTAGACTGGACACAGATGTGTCTCTCTCAGCACAGCCAGGAGGGAAGCAATATACCCCATCTGCCAACAACAACGGAGGGTCCCGTCTACAAACCAACACTACTATATTCAACAGTGACAGCTGCAAACAATGCAGTCACCTTGCTCTGTCATGGGGGTCTAGTGCTGCAGACAACTGCAATGTAAGGACTTTGGTCGCTGTAATGAATGGAGCTGGTTGAGAAACTACTTCCAAAACCACCTGGAACAGCGTCAACCGATGTTTCTCTTCTCTTTGCACATCCACCCACCTCCTCTGCAAAGCAGGAGCAGCACATAGTGATAGCAAGAGCCGGGCGGAGGTAGTCATGGTAAACATTAACTCTACCACAAACACAGGGAGCTGGGACAGAATGACACCATAGGGGTGATGGTGGGGGCAAGGACAGACGAGATGTTGGGGAAGGGGGTGGATTTCACATGGAGAAACCTCCCTGGCTTTGGCTGTTCAAACACAGACACAAATCCTCTGGCAGGAAATCCAAAACAATGGACGAGGGAGGGAGAGGACAGGGAGGCTTGGCAAGGGATGGTCTGGGTTGTACTACATAGAAAACTGAAGGAGAACGTGAGAGACATTGAGGGGGAGTGGAGACAAATCCTCTGCTCAGAGCTTCACCAAGGATGGACTTGGTCCTAGGTGTTTCACGAAGGATGTGCACAGATTTTGGGGTTGAAATAGACACCTTTAACAAAAGTGGGCCAAATTCTCTGCTGGCATAAGAGGGCAAAACCGTTGTTGCCCCCATTAATATCAGCAAGGAACTTGGCCACATATTCTGCAAAAGTTGTTCCAATGTCTTTGATTTGCCAGTGTTCGCAGCCTCTTTTGGGCTTTCCCCAAATATTCTAACCGAAGGAGTCTCCTGCCAGGAGCAAACAGCCATTTTTAAAGAGAATGGCAGGAATGCTGAGCAATTTTCAAGTAATTATTGGGGGATTTTGGTGGCAAGTAAATTTTGAATTCCCAATCACTAGATTAGGAAATGCCTGATTTCTAGGCCAGGTTAACAAAAGGAGTGCTTTGCTGGCATGGCTATATCAGTATATTACACCAGCAAAGCGATCCTCGTGTGGACACAGTTTATACGGGCAAAACTGGGCTTTTGCCAGTATAGCTTATTTCTACTCCCCCCGAGCATAACAAATGATCAGCAAAAGCATAGTTTGGCTAGTATAATTGTGTCTATGTTAGGGGCTTTGGCCTGCACAGCTACACTGGTCAGAGATCACACTTCTTCACACCCAAGTAACATAGGTGTGCCAGCAAACAGTTGTAGAGTAGACCTGCCTTTGTGCTAAGATCCTCCAATCAGAGAACAGACCATATCACAATGACATAACGCCCAATCAAAACTAATCGATACAGGTCAAAGTTTGAATACTGAAAACTTGTCACGAACTGCTGGTGAATTAGAGACCAAGAATTATTTGCAGAAATTACCCCGTGAATCATTTAAAACAATGGCAACATTTGAGAAAAAAATCTCAAGCTGACTGCAGTCAATTCACAAGCAAAAGAGAACTTGTGTTTACCAAACAAACTGCTTACTCATCTCTATTACTGGGGCTTTGTGCAGCGCATCCCTCCATATTGTGTCATTGTCTGATTCTGAGTCACTAGCTCAGGCTGACCTGATGGTGAAGCTGTTTCGGCCATCCCTTTCCTTTCTCCCAGTTATACACAGCTTATCTCCCTCAGGTTTTTTTGGGGGTGGGGATCTTTTACTCTGAGAGCTTGAATCTCTCTCTCTCTTGTATAGTACCTCTTGGTATTCAGGACAGCAGGTTA